TATATATAAAGGATAGATCAAGGATAGATTAAATTTCTCAAAAGTAGAATTGGAAGCAGTTGTTTTACTTTTCAGTCACCTCTCCCACTGAACCAACTACCAGATTCGACCTATGAGGGCAGAGAGAGTGTTGTAGTACGGTTTTGGTTTATAGAATATATTTTAAAGTTTTTGAGCAGCCTTTTTAGTTTTTCCTGTCAGTCTTTGGCAGTCTGGTCTTGGGATTTTGAATGATGCCATTGCTAATAGGCTCTCTCCGTTTCTTACTGATAAGAGTTTAAAAAAAATGACCCTATGACAAACAGTTGGTAGAAAAACTCAAAATTCACTGGTAGAGTAATGATCCGCCCCAGCTGCAGTTGCCACCTGCCCGCTGCAATTGTGACACTGACTGCCACACCCCTGCATGATTTCCCAGAGTGTAGAGCAGTGCGAAATTACAGGAGTAAAGTAGCTGCATGTAAAAAGGAAAGAATTATATTAAAAAGTAAATGAAACGTCAGCAAAAATACTTTAGTGAAATGTCAGCTTTTTCAAACAGCTAATTTAATTTAGCTTGTACCGACTCTCTGCTTTGTCCATTGTTGCCCTCTGAAATTAAAAGTTATCTCACGTTATCTTATCAGTTCAGTTTTGTTAAGATGAATATTTTCAAAAAATTAAACAACTTTTTTATGATTTCATGTTTGTTGCTTTGATTGTTTTTGCGTGTATTTTAAAGACAACTTTTCCAATATATCATTTACAAGAGATCTTTTCTGGATAAACACAAACAAAATTTAAAATATTTTACTTTGATGTATATATGATCCTGTTCTTGTGTTGGTCTCGACCTCTAAATACCTTGGCCTTGTCCCAGTCTCTGTACTCCCTGGTCTTAGTAATATCTTGGTCTCAATTGGTGCGTTCTTGACTAAAAACTAGCCAAAGACCTTGTCTAACTATCCTCAAGCATTAATTTCTAATAAAACTTAAGAGTATGTGGCTTCAGTTATTCCTATCTATGTTTATTGTTATGCCTCTATAGACCTACCACACATTACTAGCATGCAAATCCCTTCTGATGTTTCCACTCAGCGATCCTATCTCACCCTTAGTGGAATAGAGATTATATCTTACTCCTTTATTGACACCATTTAGTGCTGAGTCATTCTTAATACTTTCAAACCATAAGCTGGAACCTAAAAACTGCAAACAGTATACCTTTCTTTATTCATTTTTCTCAATCCACACCTTTTTTTCTTTTAGGAATAAACCTAAAAGGGACAGAATATGTATACGGCCAAGTGCAGAGGGAAAATTCCATTGGCCAGAAGGTTCCTCTTGGCTCTGTTCACTTCATATCTCTCTTGATCACTCCCTTTTTTTAAAGCTATGGACTTTTTAAGGAGGACACTGACATAGAGCTTGAACTGAGAGAGCTCTTTTTCCCCCCCTCTTTCTCTCTATACCATTGATAGATACAGTACATCTTGCCTGCCATTGTTTTTCTCTGAAGCCGTGTCGGGTTATCTGCTGGGCTGCTACTGCTTGTGACTTCCTACTATCCTATAAATGATACATGCTTGTGCAAAGTTTGCCAGGTCATGGCAACAAAAACTTAAATCTGAGCCAACCAGACATTTTTTCAGTTTTCTTGAAAGCGTTAAAACACCCATCCAGGAGTCCTTGTCAATTCTGATGACTCGCTCCAGAACAGCCTCTACTAGATGATCAATGTGGCCTTGTCTATCAGTGATTAACTGATAGACTATCTTTGTAGATGCTCTCTGGCATCGTATCCTGGTCCGATCCTGGTTTTTATATATATATATATATATGTGTGTGTGTGTACTGTAATATTTCTACAACCTTCAGCTGTCAGAGGGATCCTACTCTCACATTTAGAGGAGTTCAAGGTCAACCATTTTTACAAATGGAGCTCAAATTGTAATTGCACCATCATCCTTTTTAAAAGTTGGTATGATGTCTTTGCATTAATCTTCTATGTTCTGTTTTCTGCAAATGCTTACAGTAGTTCAAAATGAACAGACATTTCATCCATGGTCTCATGTGTCCAAAAGAAACCAACCAGTAACACAGCAGCTTACATAGATGGTTTACCCTTCCTGATTGCCAGTTGTCGTGTGTGATGAGTGTGTGATTTCAATATGTTAGTTACTTTTAGAAACAGGTAAATATGCTCCAATTAACCTTTTACATTCCATCACAAGCACATATATTTAATTAAGATGTTATGCAACAGACCAAGATCCAAAGTAGCACAGATATAGGAAGTGGAAGAAGGCTAAAGCTCAATATATTAATACTTAGTTTGACTATTTTCAAGGTTTTCTTAGAGAACATCAGTTAAAAAAACAGCATAACAAGGTCAAAGAAACTGAGAGATTATGTAAAACTTTAGAACAGAGCTAAGTTATAAAGCAATGTCTCAAGCTTGGAATATCTAATTAAGCATTGTTCAATCTATTGTCTGAAACAAAAAAGGAATGGTACGACTGTCATTCTATGACGACATACTGTAAATGTCTCAGTAAACTATGAACAATTCATTAAACCATGGAAGCACTAATCAAAGAAGCCCTGAAAAAGCCAAAGACAATTCTGATTTTCCAACTAAGCCAGATCGTCCATGAGACATAACAACAATGTTGAAGTAGGTGAAAAGGGGTAAGAAATCAGAGGAAAATAAATGATGAAATAATTAATTCATAATAAAATAATACAGGGCAACAAAGCACAAAACCTCTACAAGGAATAAGACTGGGGCAGAGGTGCACCTTCTAGCTTTAGATTCAGGTTCACTGACTTTTGTTTCTGTCTGCCCTTTCCTGAGCTATTTTTGGAACAAACTCAACATGTGTAAAGCTGATATTCGCATAACAACCTCAAAAGACTTGCAGCTAAAGTTGCAGCCTCTTGCCCTCTTGGCCAAATGCTTGGTTTTACAAAGCATTTAGCGAAGAGGGCATGACTGTACACTTCACCCATCTCTTTTAAAACATTGTATAGACAATTAGGTATTATTTCCTTTCAGTTTACAATCCTACACAACTTTCACAGGACAGTGAGATACAATTCAAAGACACAATACTGAAGCTTGTGACACTACAATCTGAAAAAGTAAAGAATTAAAAAGGGCTTTAAGACCATTGCAAGGTACCCCTCATAATTGTAAGCAACACTGATCATCTAGGAATTTACTTATAGATTGTGATTTTTTTTTAGGTACATTTATAATAGGGGCTGTTTCATGATTGCTTTGCTGCTTTTTAAATTAAAGCACAAAATGTGGGTCTCTTTATAGAGTTTTCTAGTGATCAAACGTTTTTCTGTACATGGTTAAAATATAAAAGGTTTCTATTCCTTTTAAGTGTCATGTATGACATATATGCCCTATGATAGCTGAGTAGTATAAGTAATGTAAATGGGAACTGTCCAGGGTGCTAGGTTTCTATCAGCAGGGGGTGCTGTCGATCCATATGGAATATTAGCTTTTTCTGCTTATTGAACTCCGATACCAACATGTGACATAAGAAAATTAAATTTTAAAATGTTAGGTGAGTGGTAATAAACATTTCTATACTTCAAAGTTGGAGAGAAATCATCACGGTGACGCAAAGGTCCTTCGTCGCTTGCCGTAGGAAACGAGACCTTTCGAACATGGCGTAAGCATGTAGCCTGCTAGCCATTTGAAGCTGTTTATTACTTGAACCAAAATGCTTATTTAAAGGTCTCATTTGTGTGTCGACAAGGGAGGATGTGTCCAAATAATGGGAAACGTTTTTGGGAGAAAGAGCCGATCCTCTCGTGTAACGGAGCAAGACAAAGCCATTTTGGTAAGCTCAGGATGGAGAATGTAAAAGGCTGATTGTTGCCAGAATAACATAGCAGGGGTTTAGTTTTGTCTAAATATTATTTCTGGTTCTATGATCTTTGCAGCAACTGAAGCAGCAGAGAGATAAGCTTAAGCAGTATCAGAAAAGAATCACCTTACAGCTGGAGAAAGAAAAACTTCTGGCTAAGCAGCTGTTAAAAGATGGCAAAAAAGAGTAAGCTGACTTCGAGATTTCAAACCTTCTCATATTGAGCAGACCTTTGCAGTCGCATCCCTTCCTGTATGCATGTTATGACTTCTGTTTGCAAATAAACGTTTTGTCTTTTAACTTGTGTCTGCAGAAAAGCTCTGTTCCTCCTCAAGAAAAAACGCTATCAGGATCAGCTGCTAGAGAAGACAGAGAATCAGATTTCAAACCTAGAGCGTATGGTAAGTATTATTATTTTTTTTTTTTGTCTGAATTTAAATATAAATAAATTTTTCTTTCTTAAAAGCTTAGATGAAAATTCCTCCACGTATGAATAAAAACCATAGGAACACTTAACCTTAAGACTGCAGTACTGTTCAGGGATGCTGATTTTCAAGTCTGATGACTTGAAAATCTGCTATAGCTGTTATTAAGGCTGTACCTGCTCATTTTAAGAAATAAAATTTTTAACAAAATACGTCAGCTTGAAGTATAAATGCAACTGTCACTAAATTACATCTAATTTACTGTAACATATAAAAAAAATAGGTTCTTAAAATTCAACCAAAAGGTTCATCGTTATCTTTTCTGCATCTTTAGAAACATACAAATATAGTAAAGTCTTCCAAATTATAGACAGAGGTATCTTTACAAATGAAACCTGAATGATAACAGTATTTCTTCGTTTTTTTTTACCTTAAAGGTATATTGGAGGATGTTCTTTTTGTGGGTGGATCATCAAATTAAGTGGTCCTCCTAATTGTCCGTCATTCTGTTGATAGATTAATGTAAGGCTTTAAGGCCTACATGCTCATCCCAATTTTCACTTACCGGTGGTGAGGCTCACATAGTGAAAAAATTGCAAATCTTCTCTTGGAAGGAAAGCTTGTATGAGCGATGCGAACAGCAAGTTTTAAACAGAGCATGCACAAGGAGAAATTGGCTCATGCATGCTATCGCACGGGCTTAATAGTAGTTCCCTCTTGGGAGCAGGTACAAGGTTGTGCATGTGCATTTTTTTTTTAATTCCCGAAGATCCTCCAGTATACCTTTAATATATAAGGTGTTTAATGTATATATATATGTGTTTAATGAATCCATACATATGCCTTATGATTAATCATAACTCTTTTCAAATTGAATTAATTTAATTTAAAACTGAGGGGATGTCCCAATGTGTGACAGAGCAAGCATGAGTGTGCGATTAATACAACTTCTATCTACAGTTAGACATGACATATTACTTTTATTCTATAAAGGAGTCAAAATCAATACCAAAGTTATGGTTTAACTTGTATTTTTTCAGTTTTATTCCACATGTGTGCAATTAGTATATTTAACAATACTAGCTGGAGGCATTAGTCTTTGCTTGTACATCCTTTGCTCCATCTTAACTTTCAGATTTCCAAGACCTACCATTGTTTCCCAGTCCAGCATATTCTATAAAACTCTTTAAAATCTACATACCCCCTTTTCTGACAGAAGCATGTGCATTGTGTTGCATGCATGTGTTGTAATTCTTAACTGGATTGTACTCTGAACTACGTTAATTCTTTCAAAATACAGCAACTATTCAGCGGTATTTCCATACACTGTTCCAAAGCAGCAGCTTTAATGTTCTGACTTAATTTTGAACATGAATTAATTTCAATTTAAAATATCATATAAATTAGTATATATTGTCCTGTGGGAGTAAATATGTTTTCTTCTGATAGGTCAAAAACTTTTAGATGTGACAGAATAAAACCAACTCACCGTCTTTAAATTGACTATTTTTTTTGTTGTCATTTAAGCTGACGTTTGTTGTTTGTTTCCTTTCCCAACAGGTTCAAGATATTGAATTCATGCAAATTGAAATGAAAGTCATTGAAGGACTTAAGATTGGCAATGAATGCCTGAAAAGTATGCACGAGGTAGATATTTGGCTTCTTTCTTCCCTCTCTGCTTAGAAATGTTCTGTGCCCCTAAGCTTTTCATGCATCAGTTTGCACTGTAACAGGGTCAAATTTTTTCCTGATAGGAATGTTTTCAGTAACGTTATCCAACAGTAAGGTGTGAGCAGCTCAGAAGGCTTTTGAATCGTGCTGCAACAGCACCGCTGGTGCACATGGCTTGAAGATTAAAGGATTAGGAAAGAAAAGCCTCTATGACATAAGTCTGACTACTGCAAATGCTTAGACACTCAACCTTTCCTTGGGGAATATTACTTATCAGGCAGAATGTGGAAAAAACAACAAAAACAAATGTTTAGTTAAAGAATAAACTAAAATGTAATCTTGGTTTGTTTGTGACAGATCATGTCAATAGAAGACGTGGAAAAAATCCTGGATGAGACCCAAGAATCAATTGAATATCAAAGGGTAAATCATTTGACTTTGAATTAACCTATATGCACTTGGTTGTGATATAATTTAATTGCATTTTATATACTTGAGGTTGTACGATTACCTTGAATTAAGTGTGCAGAAAGAATGAGAAAACATGTCTTCATTTTGCTTCTGCAGCAAATAGATGAAATGTTGGCTGGAGCCCTGACACAGGAGGATGAAGATGCAGTTTTAGCTGAATTAGAGTACATCACTCAGGTGAGCCATTAAATAGATGTTTAACTTTTTTTCTTTTTTATTCAGAAACCTACTTTTCTAGCTTATATCTCCTTTTTCTAATAAACCAACACTAAAACACAATGTTGTCCTTGATCAAGTGCTATTACAGGGTTTCCGCGGGTCATTAAAAATCATTAAACAAGAGTTACTCATTCATGTATAAATTGGTGTTATAAATATATTAGTCCGCCCTTCTTCTTCAGCCAACTCGTATCTCTAACATATAATTCTATTAGGTTTGGACATGATTTTAAGCAAGCACCATTCATGTAGGAATCTTCTTACAAGCTGTAAATGAACAGTTGTGCTTATGCAATTATGCAAATTCATAATGATTAAATGCTGAACGGATTTTGTTTTCAATTGTATTATAATTGCTTTAAATAATACACACTGTCAAACTGTAAGAAATTACTATGTTTCATACTTGAGTGTTGATACTGGTTCAATGACTCCATTTTATTCTTATTATCCCACAAAATCTGAAACGCTGCAATGCGCTCTAGGATATCTTTAAAAATGATCTGCGTTAGAGCAATCTAACGGGATAAAAGCAACAGTTTTGGTGACCAACACATATTTTATGGATGTCGTTAAAAAAAAAAAAAAAACTGTTTGGAAAATGTAACATTTAAAGAAAAAATACATATCTGATGCTCAAATTTTGCTCCATAATAATGTGGATTTTCTTGCTTTAAATTACACATAAAAGCCTAATATGCTGCTAAACTTTAATTAAATCAGTTACCTCCTTAGAAAAGAAAAAAATAAAGAAAGGAAGTACGACACCAGTAGCTGCATCAGATTTGTCCAGGAAAGAGACCAAACTAAACAGCTTTGAGGTGTACTTTCTTCAGGAAAATTAAATGGTGTACACAAAAATATTCTTAGAAAAAGCAATGCATTGCAGTGAGAATGTTGTAACCTAGGTTGCACTTAATAGATTAGTTTGCAAATTTTTTACACATTTTAATATAGGAGCACCTACGGTATAGTTTTAAGAATCATTCATTTATACCACTTTTGGGATTTTCCTTACACAATCAATTGTTCATGAGTGCAAGTTATTATGAAATGTAATCACTCTGATCTAGTCTGAAGAATGAAGCAAACAGAACTGTTTGAATAAAATAAACATGGACCCACTGAAGAACAAGCTAAAATCCCAGTCTCTTTATTGAGGCAGTTTTATGTACAACGGCTGCAAATAAATGAAAAAGAAAAAAAAAAAAGGCAACTTTTCAAGCTAAACTACATTCCTCTGTAAAGCAACAAAACAATAAAACACATTTGGTGGAAGATGTTAAGTGGACTAGAGATTTTTTGTTACCTTTTTGGGATTCACTCGAAAAATATCCCACCAAAACCAATTAACTTTTTTACAGTAGTGGCTACACTAGTGGCTAAACAAGTGAAGTTTATATACTCCTTTTTTGTAGCTGGAAAACCAACCTTTTCTTGAATTGTTTTAATTATTGTGTGTTTTTGCTTTATTGTCGATATACAGGGAGAAGAGTTAGCACTTCCAGAGGTTCCCTCTGAGCCTGTTCCAGAAATACCAGAATCTGATCAAAGTGAACCAGGTAAACTGGCTTTTTAGTTCCATCCATGTTAACAATAAAAAATAAAATATATACATATGCATAAATATGACATTCATTTTGTTCTTTTTCTGTTTTTAGAGAGGCAAGATGAAGGGAAGAAGCAACAAAAAGAAATGCTGGCTGCCTAAAAGAGTTTCTGGTTCATATCCAGGGCTACTCTGAAAATCTAATAAAGCTCTTATTAGTTAGTTATTTGAGGAACCAACATTTTGCACAGTTTACAGGAGCATCATTGTGAAGCTACAACATGGAGTGAAATATTGTGTTTCATTGTTACTGTGCTGGTAAAAGTATAAAGGTAAATTAAAGGGATTTTAGATGTTTTAGAAAAAAATCATTAAAAAAATACATTCATATATTAAACTGCACTAATAAAAACAGTTTGGTCTTTTTTTCTTTCAAATTGTAGTACAGGTACTCAACCAGAAGATGACACTGTTTACTTTTTTTCTGCGACAACACAGTATATCACGCAAACGTTGAGTGTTATTATAATGGCATCAATGCAGTAAACATGTTTTTTTTTTTTTTTATCAAATAATAATGAAAAAATTGTGATGACTTTTGAATATGCATGGGACAGCAAGACTATACAGTCGAAGATTTTTGGTAAATTGGGACACAAATGTGAAGTTAAAGACAAATTGTCTAACATTTTTGATGGCTTTTATAGGCGAAATGATATATTGGAACCGGATGAGCTGCTTAATGTCTGCGGTTGAACTGTAGATGTATCAGTTTCTTCACTGCAGAGGTGCAATCTTTGCATCTCAATGTCTCATATGATATGTGGTGCTATGTTTGATATATATCAAACATAGCACCACAAAAAATATATACCTAATTAAGTAAATCAGTCTTTTTGTGGTGCAGGTTTAGAGAAATCAAGAGAGAAATGATGGATAATCAATTTCCACTTGCACGGCGATGTGGGAGGCGTGCACCAAATCTACTATTTAACAAGATAACGCCATATTTAATGGCTGTGGGAAATATGACACTTTTATACTATGAAACAGGACGGGCATTTCATTAATTAGCGTTTACTATGTCCTGCATGGTTAATTTAAATAACAAATACCCCTTCTGATAATTGTACAGCGAGTGTAATTGGAACACATTTACATACCGCATTTGAGCTCCAAGGTGTTAAAAAACACGACGCCCGGGATCGGTCCGTGAAGGCAGCAACAGGCTGTCAGCGCGTGAGAGGGAAGGTGTGTTTAGTTTGTAGGTTTGGGGAGCGCAGCTTCATTCCTGCGGTAGCGTTTCTGTCGCTCGCTGTTACCTCCAACTTGTTTTTTTTTTTTTTTTTCTTTTTTTTTAGTATTATTTTCCTCTACCTGTCCACTCCATTTTTTACGCGGATAAACGTTTTTTTACTATCAAAACCGTTTATGGTCCTGGCTGAAGATCTCACCATGTCTCGCACAGACGAGGTTCATCGCTTGACGGAAAATGTTTATAAGGTAAGTCTGAACTAATTGATAAAGTTTGGATGTATGCACGAGTTTAGCGGTTCATAAGTAACCCAAATTTTTCCTTCTCGATTCCTATAAGAAAATGCACAAAAGCTGAGTTGGTTTGTTTGTTTTAATTTTCTTGTCAAAATAAACAAATTCCCACTGTCCTTTTTTTTTAATGTCTCACAGGTTAATTAGAGCGACACCTTTCAGGAAAACCAATCCCTGACCCACAAAATCAGGGTCATATTCGCATCAAACTCAGGCCTTTTAAATTAGTTTGTGTACTGAGCTCATGACAGTTTAGGTTAGGGCTATTCATTGCAAACTAGTGGATTTATGCAAGCCTGATTCTTTGAAATGGGAACATTCTGCATTCCAATGGACTGTGTTCGACAGGGAGGGTTGAGCCTCTGTTGCAACAAGTAAACATTAGTCCTCTTTCTCTCAAACCTGTTTTTCATACAGAGACCTGTGTGGACTTGGCAGGCAGGATTTAATCCTTCATTACAGGAATGGGGAAAAAAAAGGTGATTAATTTTATTAGTGGTGAATAAAAGTCTTAGATTTTTTTATTTTTTTTGCCACGCTTTGGGTTCTATGATGTATGAAATAACAGCCGGATAAAATGCTAAACTTACAGGTGGACCATTTATTATAGAGTTTTAACTGTAATTGAGGAGTAACTCATTTAAACATAGTGCTGGCTTCCCTCTACACTGTTTGTCATGCCTCAGAGGGTGTGTGTGTATATATATATATATATATATATATATATATATCACACTGATAACACCAAATCAAAAATACTGCATATTTGCACCATATTTATTAATGCTCTGACCTTCCATATCAATGCATTTTTTGCACCATTTTTTTTTTTTCTTTGATCACTGCTGCACTTTTTGGAATGGAAATGTTAATTTACTGTCTGAAAAGCTCTACTAAAAGTTGTCGAAGTCTATATCACAAAGTTTATTTGATTTATGTTTTGGTAAGTTGAAGTTTTTCTACATCTAACCTTTTATATATTTCCTACTGGATGAGTGTACCCCTGTATATTGTAACATTCATGTAGATTATTATTAAACTAATTCCGTACTAATTGTTTTTGTACAAGGTTCACTAAATGAAGCACATTGTATGGCCTAATTACATGATGATGTTTGCAAACTCATTGGTTAATTATATATTTTTCGCCCTACAGCTATTGATAACATTACATTTGAAGTTAGTATATTACATCAGATCAGTAAAAACCTCAAATTTCTAATGCCTCAATATGGAGCCTAATTAAAACTAAAGTTTTTTTTTTTTTTTTTTCAGGAAGTTCTTTCAGTCTGACGATGACCCTCATGTTTTAACTTACTGAATCTGATTGTACATCCTTTGCTACCTTTAATTAATGTGTCTTTTACATCGAAACCGGCTGCTGTACAAATATCCACCATACACTTCTGGCAAACTTTTATGTTTGAACTGAGATTATGTTTGAACAGGACATTTTAAAAATGAAAAACAAAGGATACATGTTGTCTAGGATCAGAATAGTTTTGCCACCTCATATTTCTTATCTCTTGGTTGGATCTCCTGCACTTTTAGGATTACTCCCTCTTTTTATTTCAAGTCATGGGCTTTATTTAAGGAAGACATGTTATAGGTGTCTACCGTTTAGGGTCAGTGGAAGTTGTCTGGAGATTGTTTTGTTCATTCAAGTGCAAACGCAGCAGTGAACCTTGGTCACAGGGGAGGAGGCAACCGTCAGAGCCCTGACAGGCACGAACTCTGAGGGGCAGTGGAGTGGGAAGGCAGTCCCTCTCCCACTCTGGGGATCTGACCCTGTGGCGAATAACACCCAAGCAAAAATGCTATTTTCTGCTCTAAAAAAACTAGTCCTGTACAGAATTTGATCTTCTTCTACTTTTTGGAGTTTTAAGACAAAAATCTGAACATAATCAGTAATCCAAAAAAATTGGATTTAATCCTTAATGCAAATAATAAAACCACACAGAGTTATCACACAAACCCAAAAAAACCCCCCAAAAATTAAAACTATTCAATACTTTAGATGCATCAAAAATTGTTCAGAGATCAGATATCATCAGTTTTGCATTAAATATCTGTCATCAAAGTTCAGCAAATATTTCATTTAATATTTTCCTCAAAGCTAAGATCAACAACCAAATTTAGTAAACAAATGGTCAAACTGCATGTGATTTTTTTTTTTTCGTCTAGTTATGAACTCTGAGGTACAGTAAAGTTTATATTGGGCAAACAAACAAACCCTGATACTGTGGATACAGGTCAAGTAAATAAGAGCTATGTTATCTAATATTTAAATGGTTTTAAATCCCATAGTGCTGTAAAATAATGGTGTTTAAGTAATCAAGAGAGTGAGGAAAACCAGTTGACTTTTATTGGACCAAAGAGTGAAACACAGTGATGTAATCGTTCTGTACTTTTATGCAGAACAACATTGACTACTGGTTATTTTTATAACCAAATTTTTCTTTTTTTGATTCAGTTTGTTTTAAATGACCTGCTGTCATTCACTGCAGTTTCATTCATAGAACCACAATGATTCTCAGTGGTGGGATCCAGTATTCTTTTGGGCACTTGAAGGAGTCCTAGGGGTACTACCTCTCTTTTTAGAGTGTATACTTAAATGGCATCCATGCATTAGTACTGTTATATTTTTAACAAGGTAAATTTGTTTTCAATAAAATAACACAATCCTACATTTATTGTTGGTTGAGCAGTAGATCCTTGTCTTCTAAATGTATTTTAGAACAGCAAAGTTTGTTTGGTTCCCCTATAAAGATGGTCTGACCCAACCTGGCTTTTCCAGAGAACAGTGTTTTTCTTGAGTTGTCCTTTAAGGAAAAAAACTAACCCTGACACACAGAGGAAAGGCTTTGGAGAGGCTTTTTCATTAGCTTTAACATGTTGAAATGAGATCTCCTTTTGTCTAATAATTGTGATCAAAGCAAAGAAACAAATTAATAGCTTTTTATTTTTATTACATTTATATCTGTTCTTATAAATTATGTTAATTGCTTCATTTAAAAAAAAAATCGATAAGCCCAAAGGAGTGCTCTCTAAGTTAATGATTATTCATATTTATTACTTATAATATTCAATTATTTATTTTTAGTCCAGATCAGTGACACATCCATGTTTTCAGTCTAATACTCTGTGTTAGTTAGAAGGTATTTGGATGGGAAATAATCATACATTGCTGTAGAGTACATTGCTAAAAAAAGGTGGAGCCACTAATGATGTGAAGAAGTAATGGCTAGTCTGCAACCTCTCTTTAAAGTAGTTTATCTACCGTATGGATTCTTACTAGATCTATGCATTTCTTCTTTCTTTGCAAGAAGCAGTTTCTTAAGGAAGGTAACATGTTGAAAGACAGGGAGCAGTACAGGAGTCGCAGCAAACAGCTGAGCAGATACTGAGTAATTTCCAGGGTAATGAGGGGGGTAACTGCTGATGTTAGCCCGGTTTACTGTGTGTGTTTAACAGAGTGAGACTGAGCCTCCCTGCAAGCGTTTCTTGGGTAAAGGCCCTGGGCACGCCTAAGCTCTCTGAGATGATCTTGATCAACAAGGGAGTCAGCACGGGAAACCCAGCAATTTCTGCATGATCCTCTGTGACTCACTTGAGTTCCCCTCCCTCTCATGGGCAGACAGACCTATACGTGGCGGTTTGCATCTCGTTATCCCCATGCTGACTTGGTGAGACTGATACTTAAGGCTGGCACTCTGTGTCGGTGGGTGTCTGCACTACTGTCATCGCCACCAGCTGGTCATGTCTGCAAAAGGTGGCACTTCAGGTCAAGCCTCTTATGAAGCGGACAGATGAAGTCTGAGCATTGACCTGGCTTGCTTAAAGTGAGCAAACGGATTAATCGGAGAAGAAGCTCAGGAAAAAGAATAAGGCTGTGTGTGGGTGCTAGATTTTTTATCCCAAACAGTGAGCCGAGTGGAAGGTTACCCTAAAGGCAAAGTGACCCAACACGCCCTGTAGAAGGCTGCAACTTCTGCTTGTATTTACTCAGTGTTTCTCAGAGGATGTGTTGTTTTCTATCCCTGATACATGCAGTGCAGGTTTAAAACACACCCTCCGCAGGTGAGGCAATAATAGGGTGTGGCTCATCTCTAACAGCCTCAGGACTGCTTACATATTCCCATACCACTCCCTGAATGTTGACACATCCTGGAAAACATTGAACAATTTTCCTAAATCTTGATGACAGACAATATAGTGTTTTGATCTTAAATGGGTCTGCTGTGATGGTAGCAGACAAGATCCCCAGATGTTGCAGCAGTTAAGCTTTGATGAAGGCAGATGCATTAAAGTTAAAAGTTTTATGTTCTAAGAATTCAAGAAATAAAACTTAAAGTTTCTAGAACTCGAGGACCTTTGGTTAAGATTGGTGAAGGTGTGCTGAATAGAATGTGCTTGTTTTATGTTTGGGTGTTTCAGAGCACCCATCCTCCCCCACATGTTGCTGTGCACTGCTGGTTAGCTAGTTTAAAAAAAGGCTACTATATGTTGGCTTACTTACAAAAAGGGCTGATTTGGTCACCTAAGTGTTTTCCAATTGCTAAAAACATTGTTTTCTCATCACAATCCCTCATTAAATACAGTAAGCCACTCAAGACATGAGACAGACTTGCTAAAGTTCACATCAAACCTAAGAAATGGTGCATGGTGTTTGATGCCAGATAGGCTTCTCTGAGTAGTTCTGAAAATGCTTGTTCATTGGATTTTTTATAAGCAAAACCATCTTTTCTGTTTACAATGGTCCGTGTGATTAAAGAATAAATGCCAACTGAGCAGCAGTTGTTTGGACAAAAAGGCCTTAGTAATTTGGAAACTAGGCTGACCTGTTTGAGATGAAGGAAAATAACTGCAACTGAAATAAGCAGGCACTGTGTTTTGGAAAACTAACTCATTGTTAATGTTAAACATTGAATTAGGATGGACAACAACAGTAAGAC